CGGCGAAATGCATCGGGTCGGCCGCCTTACGTGGGCGGTTCGTGGTGCGGCCACGAGGCCGGCGGACGCGCACGCCCGCCGTTTACTACAGCAGGCGGGCACGGTCACGTCACACGCTTCGAGGTGCCGTCAGCGAGGCACACGGCGGTGCCGTTCGCGTTCGGGCTGCGCTTCAGTTCCTGGAACCGGCAGGCCACGGTGAGGCTGGGCACGGCGGCCGAGCCAAGGAGCGCGAGCTGGTGCCCGGGTCGCACTGCGACAACTTTACGAGTGCTACCGGAAGGTTGCTCGCGGTCTAACTACCGGGCACACCGCGGAACGTGACGTGCCGGTACACCGTCCGGCAGCAGGTGGTGCCAAGTGCAAGCACGCCATGGTGTCGGTGACCAGGGCCGGGCGGTCGGCGCCTGTCGGCGGGTCCAGGTCCGGCGGCGGCGGGGCAAGCGCAGCAAACGGCGTTTCCGCGGCGGGGCAACGGGACGGCCATCATACGGGTGAACGACATGTGCAGCGAGAACGAGGACAGGCTGGTGTTCCACGACGGGCCGTCCGAAGACCAGGTGCTGTTGCGGTACTGCGGCGGACCGGCGGTGCCGCGGGTGGTGGCCAGCGGGCCCACAATGCTGATCGTGTTCAAGTCGTGGGTGCACAACTCGCCGGCCACGTTCTCCTGGCCGCCGCCCGTGTCCCGGTTGCGGAGCTTCGAGCTGGACGTGCGCATAGCGTTCGTCGACTCGGACTCGCTGGACGCTACGCCAAGGGCCGGCGCGTGCGAGTTCACCGTCAACGCGTCGGCCACGCCCAAGTCGCGGCGCGGGCGTGCTGGTCAGCCCCGGCACGCGGTGCCGCCGAACAGCACGTGCACGTACCATTTCCGGGCAGAAGTTAGCAAAACATTATTTTTTAAGAATTAAAATTATTAAAATGTTATTAGGTTATTATACAGCAAGAATAGGTGACTCAAAATCTTACTAGAGGGCCAATTAAAAAAAAAAAATTAAAAGTCTAGCAGGCCAGAGCATAGTAAGCAAAAAAAGTCATTCAAAATATGCATTTTAATTAGCATTTATTTTGTTTATAATGTGAATTTTTAACTTTAAAATTGTATAATTTGATTTTAAAATGTAGTAGGAGCCAAATAAAAAAAGATTCATGGGCTGCCAGTTGCTCACCCTTGTTATATAGCATTATTAAATATGAGTAAATGTCATATTTATTGATGTAGATATATGTTAAAACTCAACAAAATAAAGTTTACTGTGTTCAAAAAATAAGAAAATAGAATACATTTTGTTGTATTGGTGAAATAGGTTCTTTGGATAGACATTTAAAAACCATCAATAGTCTAAAATCACCTACAAATATATCATGATGATATCTACAAAGTATAAATTATTTTAAAAATAATACTATTTTCATTGTTAATAAATTGTAGATAAAATAATTAAGATAAACCAATTAAAAAAAAAAAAATAACCAAGTAATAAGTAATAATATTTTTTAAATGGCAGACACCCCTTTTCTCACCACTAAATAAGGTTTGGTAAACTCCATGATAAAACACAGCAGGTGAACAGTTAATTAAGTAAATGCAATACATTACTTTCTGTACTTTTTATGTATTTAACATATAACATTACAACACAATCTAAACTATCTTTACTTATCTTATTATTTTAAATAAATATAATCTTTAAATTTTTTTTCAAAAACTAATGAACTTGATTCAATTAAAAACTGGATTAAAAATTTTTGATGAACATAAAATCAAACCAATTTTAATCATACCAATTATATTTATCAGTCCTATTGATTATATTTTTACCTGCCATATCATAGGAATTTATTATATTCCATTCACTGGATTATACAAATCTAAAATACACATCAAATGGGTATTCTGGTATTTTAATTACAGATAATGTCTTTAACATAAAAACAATATTTATTTGTGTTTTAAAATCCATGTAAAATAAAAATCCTTAGTTGATACATACCGGCATTGATATAGGTCTTTGAGGTGGTAAACCATTGTATTCTTTGTCCCAAGCACATCCATTTGTACATTCCGTATCCAATAAAATATTTTGACACCGTTTTGCACCAACTGCATGTAAGATATAGACAATTTTTTCAGAAATTTTGTCTGGACCATTATTAGTAGCAGCAATATGTCTTGAAGACATACCTTTATTATTTCTAAAAAAATGTATAAATATTTGTAAGTTATTATCAATAATATGTATAAAACATTTTTACATTTTAGATGCATAACATTTTTTTTACCAAAACAATATATATATATATATATATATATGTTTTTTTTTAATTTAGTAATTATATAATCTGTAAATAAATTGTTTTACTATAACCAAAAATAATTCAAACCTCATATAAAATATATAAAATAAAAAAATAAAATTATTTACTTAAGTAAACTTGGGTGAAGGAGCCATCTAGTGATGAAACTTTATATATATATTAATTTAAAATGTACATACATATAATCAATATCTGCTTCAAATGCAATAAGAGCATGAATTACTGGTACCAAATTGCTTTTGACCGCCAAATGAAGTGGTGTATTACCTTCTTGGTCAGGTATATTTACATTAGCTCCATTGCATAACAGTCCCATAACACAATCAAATCTATTTCTCAAAACCTAAAACAAAAGTGGTTACTTGTATAAAAAAATCTATATAAATAAAAGTACAATAAATAGTATAGAATAATACAATACACATTTTTTATTGTAATGTTACCATTATGTGAAGAGCAGTGCGCTTATCAAAATTCAATGCATTTATATCACAATTATTGGCAATTAAACTGTCGATTACTTCACGAGAACTTGACCAATGTAAGGGAGTTCCACCAAATTTCATATCCTAAAAAAAATGAAATCAATAAAATAAAAAACTAATTTACATTTTTTACTAAGTAATATCTAATTGTTTTGAAAAAAATTTAAAATAGTTACTAGTTAAGAAATAAAAATAAAAATCTATTTGCATTGTATTTAGTTTTTTATAGATGAAACAGAATTTAACTTTTATGATTTTACAATTATTTTATAATTAAAGTTTGATAAACTAACAAAAGTCTTATTTTTAGTAAACATAATCTAATCTGTAGTATTACCAAGAAGAAACTTAAATAAAACTTATAGATAAGTTTAGTCTATTAACCTTTACACAACGTTTTAATGTACACATAATATATTGTCCTTACTTCAACAAATAATTTTTTATGATTATCTTGAAGATATTCTTTGACAATTCCAGGTAATTTATTTTCGGTTACATTAGTAACAGGAACTCCAGCTGGAATATTTACATCAGCCCCACAAACTAACAATTCTTTAACACATTCTGGTTTATCCGCCTGACACGCCAAGTGAAGAGGAGTAAATCCATTTATGTTAAGATAATTCAAGCATTTTGTGCTCACTTTAGATAAAATCTACAAAATTATTAAATTATTAAACTATTAATTTATGTGATAATACACTAATTATTTTATAACTTAACCAAAATTATATCACTACTAGATTTTGCAGCATAATGAAAAACTGAATTGGCTTCATTATCCAAGTGGTCCAAAGAAACATCCAAAGAAATTAATGCTTTGACAACAGGTAATGAATTATCATAAATGGCCAATTGTAATGATGATATACCACTTTCGACATCAGGTGTATTTAAGTACCTAATAAATTAAGAGTAAGACAATTACAATATGTTTATGTTAGCAATGATAGTTTAACATTTGTATCTATAAGACTTACATCACAACATTTGGATTGGATAAAATGTCTAGCATTCCCAACCTCACAACCAAATGAGCAATATTCCATGTTGGATGTTCGATAAGAGTATCACATAAATTTTGTATCACAGACAAGCAATAACACTATAAAACAAATATCATTTTATTAGATAATTTAATAGTTATTTTGTTAATATATTAATCTACTTACATCTTTGGATATACTCAGAATCTTTGGCAATTTGTCTTTAAGTATACAAAATCTTATTTCTGAATCTTCTATACTCGATCCTCTATATAAGCTATTGAACCATATGGTTATAAATATGTTAAGTTGATATTTTACTAATTTAATTAATATCAAACCTGTAAGAAGTAGTTAAGCTCTCTGCACGAGACAAATGCAAGACAATTTCACTAACATTATTACTATCTACTGCATACAAAATAATCGGATCGTGACGACAGTGAACATTACGATTAGAGTATTTTTCCGATTTTACTTCAATAACTTTATTGGGATTTTTATCGGGGGTGAAAAATTCTTTTAAAGAATTTAACCAAGACATAATGGTCAATAAATGTTTAGTCAAAACCTAAATCGCTAAATGTTCAGAAAACAATTAGAGAACGTTCATATTTGTAGCACTCGAATTTCCGAGCAAAAAAGAATAAACAAAGGGTTATACTTTTAATGGAATTTCAAATGAACTTTGCATTTAGGCCATTTTGATACGTTATATCATTTTATCAATACACGTATATTATCGACTTTTTATTTTTATCAATAACGTGTACAAATAATATCTATGATAACGTTTATGGACATGTTATATGATAAGATATTAGTTTTAAATTTAGTTGTCTATAGTGATTCGCAGTGAAATATTTAGCAAAAAATCATGATTCGTTCTAATTTTTATCGATTTACTTTGTTAGTAAAGAATAAAAGTGCTTTGAATGCAATTAAAAACGTTGCGCAAAATCCACCCAAGATAAACATTCATACTCCATCAGTCTACCAAAATCGTTTTTATGTGACATTGCCATCTGTACAAAACAACTGTGAAAAAAAACCTGAAAATGAATCCACTGGTAAAATGCAAATAACTTTTACTTGTGCAGTGTGTAACACCAGAAATACCCGAAGGTTTTCAAAACTTTCATACGAAAAAGGAATAGTGATTGTGGAATGCGACGGCTGCAGTAACAACCACTTGATAGCTGATAACTTAGGATGGTTTCCGGATACAGGATGTAAAAATATCGAAGAAATACTATCTTCCAAAGGCGAAAAGGTCAAACGAATAGATGGATGTTGGGAATTAAAGTCGAAATGATGAGAAAATATATTTAAAAAAAAACTAATTTGTAAACAATAAATATGTTCTTAAATTTTATACTCAAATGTAAATATATTAAATAATATTAAAAAATGTATTCTTTAAAAAAAAAAAAAATATAAAACCTTTAATATTTAAGAACACTTTGTAAATATTTTCTCTATAATAAGTAATTATTTTTTAGATTTTGCTTTTGTTTTACGCTTAGCAATGGGTTTGACTTCTTTTTTTTTAGACTCTGGAGTGTGTGGAAGATCATCAGCTAAATCTTCAGTTTCAAGGTATATCTCATGTTCAGTAGGTGGACTTTTCTGTAGTACTTCATCATCTAAGTCCTCAACTTTGGCTTTGCGACCACCTCGTTTTGGTGCTTTGATTTCTTTAAATTCGTCATCCTTTTTCTCAACATCAATTTGTTTAAATTTACGTTCACGTTTTGGTTTTATTTCTGGAGTTTTATTGGAATCGTCAGACTCATTTATCTCACTGGACTCTTCGGATTTTTCTGGCGACTTGATGTTTTTTTTAGTTTTAGGTACATTTTTTTGTTTTTTTTCTAGATCTTTTTCGTTATTTTGTTTAGCCATCACTTTTGGAGCTGCTCGGCTTCTACTTGAAGGTTTAGTAACTTTTTCTACCTTATTTTCTTCATCTTGATCAATTTCCTATAAAATTAAATCAATAATGAAAAATTAAAATTATTAGAAATTTATATGAACTAAAACTTATAATATTATTTTATTTATATTATCTTATTATTTTAACAATATAAATTATGATTTAAGATTAATAGGCGAGTTAAAAAATGGGTACAATATATGCTATGAATCAATATTTAATAACTAAACCTATAAATACTTTATTTTACAATGAAGATTAGGCTTTTTAAAACAAAAATAAAATAAATAAGTCTAATTGTCCACATTTGTGAGACGAGTGGATTAACTATGGTTATTTGTATTTACATATTATTAAAAATTGAGATTTTTGTATGTTTTTAACTAACAGGCATATTGGTATATTTAAACAAACACATACTTAAATTAAAATCAAAAAATATGAAGAAAAGAATTAAAAGAAATTCTTAAAAAAATTAGAGAATGAGTTTTAAAAGGAAATATTTATTATTGACTATATTTTTGAGACTAACTAAAAATGGGTAGCAAACATAATACTGATTCGACAAAAAAATATAGAAGACATGCATGTTGAATTCATTTGTAGATATCATATAAAACCAACATAAGCTTATGGAAATAATCGTAAATAGTATATTGTACCGACATAAGTTTTACTTATTTTACAAGAAATTGAGATAAGGATTTCTTAAATGAATGTAACAATATTTATTTTGAAATATTGATTAAAAACCATACAAGAACATTTTCAAATATTGTACTAATACTGAGGAAAAGCATAACTTTAAATTTAAAAACAATCTACATGCACCTATAATATGAAAATACACTATGTATTGTACACAATGATAAAACATGTGATTAACCATTGTGTACAAATTCTATAAATATCATTTTTGCACATAATATGCAAGGTAAATCTGCATGAACATACATTTTTTTATTAGATTACAGTATGGTGCTGTTGTTATACATGATCTACTGGCTACACAACAATAAAGTTTGATCAAAACATAACCATCAACCAATAAATACACCAATAAAAATTGATTTTTTATAATATTAAATAAATAATTAATATTTTGTAGGTAATTTTATAATTTTTATTAACTTATCTTATATACACTCTATAATTATTGTTGCCAGGTGCAACAATATATATTGTCAAACACTAATAATAACCCATAACATACTATAAGGATTACAAAATAAGACAAGAATAGTCTAGCAATCTCATCTCAACTATGTACGTGATTGAAATGAAACAAAATGAATTCCAAATTTCCTGATGAATGTTTTGTTTTAAAATTAACATTCTCTACAATATTTAAAGACCAGCACAATAATATTGTATTCTTTCTTAAACTCACACACTACTTAGTTTAAACGTTTTCACCTAAAATCGTTCTTTATGACTTTAGAATAATCATAGAGTAAAAATACATATTACAAAAACTATAGAGGATAATAATTTTAAGGATTTAACATATTGGTTTTATATTTAATTTAACTTAGTATTTAACTTTCAAAATAAATAAATAAATAAATTTAAATGATAAAAATTTTTTGAGATAATATTTAAACTAATTGATGTCACATCCTCAAAAATATTATTTTTTTAAATTACCTAAAAACATAAAAAAATAATAATTTTGTGTAAATGCGTGTCACTTGTGTGGGCTAGAGAGAGAAAATAGTGTGCTGACATCCTCTTAATAATAACCGAAAAGTATATCACACGTAACGACAAAAATCTGTTGGTAAATCATGTATAACAGTACCAAATTTTAGCCTCTAAAACGAGGAAAGATATTTTCTGAAGTGTTTCTCTATAGAACATATACTCAAAAGTATTAATTTAAAAAAAAGAAATTTGTCTTACGTCTAATTTAACATTTTTGACGCCTCGTTTAGATTTTGGTTTTCCTTGAATGCCATTTAAAACAAATTCACCATCATTTTGTTCTGTTACAACATTTTCTTTTTCTTCATTCAACACTTTTTTTGTATTTTTTTTCCCTTTGGAATTTTTTTCTAGAATTTTTGTTTCATCATCTTTTATTTCCATTATTTTAGGTTGATCTTTTTTTGTTCCTTTTTTTTGTTTTTTTAGTTCATCATCTTCAGTTACAACAATTGCAGCTTTAGTAGATTTATTAGTGACTTTATTTTTTTTTGATACTTTATCTAATGGATGACTTGAAGATTCAGATGTTATTATATCCACACTAGCAGCTCTGCGATTTCTTTTAGGTAGTTCATTTAACGGAGAAACAGGTTTTAGAGATTCTGGTAAATTTTTATCGACCGGTCTTTTTCGACTCTTGCTTACTACTTTTTCTTCCGCTTTCAAGGCCTGCCTATCTTCACTAGCAGCTCTTTTCCTAGTTCTTACAGCTCTGGAATCTTCTTCAGCTGTTTGTTTTTTTGACTTAAGTTTTGATTTGGAAATTTTCTTTTGGACAGGCTTTTTAATTGGTTCCTCTTCATTCACAACAAGATCTAATTCAGATTCAACCTCAGTTGCTTCTTGCTGCTGAAAATCAGGAATTCGTTCTAAAACTACTGTGGCGTTCATATCCATATTAATTTCTGAATTAGATGTTTTTACATCTATTTCATCCTTTTGAATTACTTCATCTTCAATCATATTATCTGTAAAAATTGTAAGTAAAAATTAAAGGAGTATATAGAATAATTTTATTTTTGTCATAGTATAAGTAATTAGAATAACTCAAGAATTAATTACTTAGTAATTAATAATAATTATTCTAAAAAACATGAAAATTATAAACAACTGTAGTACATTATGAACCTGAAGAACACAAAATTGTCATTTATTTTGAGTATAGATAAATAAATGTAACACTTTTCACAATTATTATAATTTTAAGGTAAAATAAAAATAGTTTAAGATAATATACTCTACATTAAAATAAAGCAATTATAACAAATTTACAATAGTAAAATAAGTTGGTTAATTTAAAATTTTAAATCAGATACTTATAATTAGGGCTCAGAAGTTGTAAGAATTGCATTTAGTTCTGTATACTCTCAGTTTATAACAGACCAAGCTAGAAATCTGAACTATACAATGGAGAGTTAAAAAATTGAAAATACATATTTGTCAATTTTAGTTAAAATGTGCATATTATGCATATTTCATGTTTTTCCAAATAAATTGATTTTTTTTCTCAACCTGTATATTTTAATTAATATTGAATATTAAACTCAAAATTATCAACAAAGTTTAGATTGGGTGATTTTAAAAATACTGAAAAATATATTTAATAATATTTTCAGCTCAATAAATAAGATGTCAAAATGCCAACTAGCTATGATTTTTTTTCAGTTCCTTATGAACAGTTTTTATGTACATCATTTCATTAATTTATTAACAACATCTGATGTAATTTTTTTGCATAATTAACATCATTTTTAATGCATAATTTGTAATTTTTTCAGCCATATTTGTATGCATATTTTACCTTTTTTAGCTTCTAAAACTTCCGGGATCCTACGATTAATTTTATATTTTATACTCAACAAATATAAGTTAATATTTTTATTTATTTAGACAGGTATTTAAGGTATACAATCAATAATAATCATCTTAAAAATGGGGACAAGGACTAATAATCCCGCCTATCTATCTATCTATATATATATATATACATAACTCAATATTACCTTAAATTTTTAAGTGTAAATTACATCATCAAAATATACTAATACATCAAATATGAAATAAAAATATATATTAAACTGGTATTTATAATAGGACCTTCAACCTTCATGCATAAAAAAATATTTAAATGAGGGAAATGGACAGTTCTTTTACACAGTGCATTGAATCTTGTCTAATGGTAATCAACTAATATTTTAGAGTACAGTAATAATTATTGAACACAATCAACAGGTAAGTGAATCTATTTTAAATATTGTGATACTAGGAAATTTTTTTTTACTAACAATTAGTTTTAAGATTAATTATTTAAATTAAATACTAAGGAGTTGTTATTATCTAATGACATCAATAAGTTCTCTTTCTAATAGGTATAAAAATCAAAGAAAATTTTTAATTTAATTTTATTATTAATAGTAGGTAAAGGTTAGTTTGTAAAACCTATTTTTAGTTTATACTCTATTAAGAATTAAATTATACCCCTGATAGCTACCTACGCATGAGCATAGGGACATAACTTCACTATACAGTAAACATACAAATTGTAAACTTTGTGACACACGAGTATTGTCCAACCAGCACCAACAAAAATAGGTTTATTTACAAGTATGTTCTTATTTTAAATAGATTTTTAATTTTATTTTCATAGTTTATATACACTTTACATAGAAAAGAACTTGAAATCAATAAAAATACATTGTAATAGTTTTGGTTTTGCAAAAGGTTTTTGATATATTAATTTTTGGTTTGGATTTTGTAAAAATAATTATTTTACATAATAATTAATAATAGGCATTCATTAGTAGTTGTGAAATTTTTGAAATTGGAAAAACATGTAATAAATATCAGCAAATAAAATATAATTGTATTGTTTACCAGAAGATTATGCTAAATTTATTCCAATCAAATAAGCTTTAAAAACTTAAAAGCTAATAGAGTATATTTTTAGTACAATAGGAATGGTGTAATAGTAGATACAGTTTAATAGATTGACATAGGATATAACTTTTGTTCTATTTATTTCTGTATAATTTGTTGGTATTTGGATGTGTTTGAGAATTACTTAAACCTTACATTTTATAGATTATGAAAATATATTTTTAGTAATTATTCACAAGAATATAAATATTTTTAAACATATGTTATGTTCATATTAGATTATTAGAATAATGTATGAAATTACTTTACTTCAAAATTGATTACCAAAATTAAACATGAATAAACAAAAATATAGGAATACAACTATTGATAATAATGCCTATTATATCGACGAATTATGAATAGTAACCATTATAATTTTGTTAAAAACCAGTATTTTATTGAAGGTCGTGGCGTAGTTAGGTGTGTTTTAAATTCCACAGTCCTCCAAAATGTCATGACTAAGTATGTAATAGCATAAAATTGAAATATGGCAAATAAAAGGGATTTTTTGGGTTTAAACCTTGTATTTTTTTTAACACAAATATTTTTACTCTTAACAAAGTGCCCTCTCATTATTGCAATCATTATGATATAAAATAGAATCAAATGAGGCTATCAATGGGGTACAATAGGTACAATAACAAACAATCAGTACAGTCAAAATTACTTAATGGGGAAAATTGAAATGAAAACATAGATAGCATTGCAATACCTGCACTAACGATTATTTCTATTACCTTTTGTAATGGGCCGCCTGACAGTGATGTGCGACATATCCTCAACAATGATTGGTGGCACATCCTCGATAGATGATTTAGCCGGCTTCTGAGTAGCTTTCTTCCTTGGTGCCATGACGATGGACGGTGAAGTATTGAATGGGAAGTTCAACGGAATAGAGTGTACGCTTAACTGTGATGGGCAAAGACAAAACAAAAACTTAACGAACGACAAGAAACACACGGTCGTACAAGTGTAGCCTGTCGACAAATGTTTGAATAACTACCTTACAAGACGGCGTTGATCGCAAGTTGGTTCACCAAAAACACGAGGGACTTGGCTGTTGGCGAAATGGTGTGTACGGGATTTCAATAACACACAGCGTGGTTGGCTGAAAAACTGAAAAGAATAACGGCCGGAGAAATGTCACCTGTCACGCGAGCTTTAATCAACACGAACCTGTTCAGCAACCAGGATAACAGTGAACACTGAGAACAGAAGACAAGTTGAACAGTGTACTCGGACGTGGTGATCGCAGAATGGCGAATGCCGAACAAGCGTCAGGCGGTGCGGAGTGCAGACAGTTTTTTCAACGTCGGAAACTCGAAATTGGAGCGAACCACCGTGATACAACAACAAATTTTAGTGTTGTATTTTTACAGAGCTGCCACAACCCCGATCTTCACACCGGAACGGACGTGTCGCGGTGGTGTCACGCGTGAGCGTTGAGCGCGGGAAACGGGTAAAAATTTGGAAAACGGATCGCGTTCGATAAAATATTATTATACAATATCCGTAAACCGAAAATCGTCAATCGACGTTCAGACGTTATTATTCCCCAGAACGTACGATTTTTCTCCGTTTTTCCTCCGGCCGTTCGACTCGTCAACGGCAGTAGTACAGTACCTCCAGTTCCAGTGTGGATACAACAGTGATATTATTACCAGGAACGGCCAACCTGCGCGTGTAGCGTTTGTTGTCATTATCGTTGCGCGTTGTTTACTTGTTTGCGGTGACGATATAAATAGAAATATCGTTTTTTTCGTCACGTCGGCGCAAGGAAAAATCGCCCCGTCACGGTCGCGCGTTTTTATCGTCCGCGCGATAAGTGATTTCTGCCTCTGATCATTACATCCCGCGGAATTTTCGATTAATCGCGATCGTACGCTGCGTCGCGATTTCAACGAAAACACAAATTATTTTTAAAATTTAGCCGGGTTTACAGCTACGCCGCGCAACGGTCTGGCGCGTCTGTACCCTGTAAGTCTGTTCAGTCAGTTAAGTTGTGTCGTGTAGTTCTTATCGTATTTCTGATTGGCCGTCGAAATCGTGGTACAATTCACTAACCTCGATTTACCGGGAAATTCCAGAGTTTTTGGACTAAGGCTGAAGGCGCCGAGTACCGGAGTACAGCTTTTGGACACGAGTCACACGACACGGACACTGGACAGGCGACGTTGGTGTACTCTTTACACAACGAGCAACTTCGTATTCACATCACCGTACCGCAGTTCAATAATCGTGTATACCTACATTATAAATAAAAAATATAATAACTATTATTATTTATTATTGATTCACCAGGGATAGTATAAATTGTGAGAGTGTTAATTTCAAAATTCGGGGTTTTAAGCGTACCCAGCGCCCCTAAATTTCGCCTATGGTTATTCGTGACCTCAATAAAATAAACAATATTATATGTTATCATTTACTCAAAAATATCGCGTTTGTCGAAATAAATCTGCACATTATACTGCTGTTAGTGTTCTAGTAATATATTGCGTATTTTATCGCCGTGTTTTTATTACAATCAAGTGCAACATTTACCTCGTTCGGTGGGAAATGGGAATAGGTTTATTTTTTCTCATCGAGCGAGGGGTAGAATTTTTATCTTTTAAGGAAAAAAAAAAATGTTTTCATTCAAGTTATTCATAGACAAGTGTCATTTTTTTTTATAAAGATACCTCCTAATTGTTTATAAAATTAATTTTATTACATGACACTTAAAATTCATTAAGAAATAATGACTAACGTATTTGTAGATTTGGATAAAATTATTTTATAGTTTTATTCGTTCTTAATTATACGCTGCACACATAATAATATGTATTAATTTTATTATGCATCAGTTTATAATGTATTGTTGAGAATCCTTGGTTCTCATTAGATACCTAACTACGGGAATTAAATGTATAAATATTAAATAATGATAATGGTATAAGCAATAGGTACATAATTTTATAGCGACTTCTGTTGCCGGACTGTGTTATGGTTGTTATGTAAAAATACTAAAAATCAATCGTACAATTGAAGTTTAGACAACAATTCGTCAACATATTAATACTGTGTAAACTTCTTTATAACAAATCTTTTTATTAATTTTTACTTACCAACTTCAATATAATATATGTATAATTCAATAAACATAAAACAAATACAGAAAAATATTATCATTTTATAGATTATTTAAAATAAATAACAATTGACTATTACTTATGGATAGTACCTATGTACAATTTTTTTTAGATTTTTAAGTTATAAGTTTATAACGCATAACATAAAATTTATTTCATTCGGATTTACATTATAAGAACAACCTACCTACTTAATAATGAAAGATTGCGATTAGATTCGTTTCTGTAATCCCCACTATAATACAAATATTATGTATTGTATTATCAACAGACTATTTCAATAATATTTCTACATTTAAATGATCCATTGGCCATTATACTGTATTTACTGCCATCAAGCAGATGAAATATAATATATATAATAGATAATGTTAACATTATATGTCTAAAGATCATCTAATCATACTTTTATTATTGAACATTAACATAAAAAAATTTGATTGAATTGTCTGGATTTTAGTGGTTAAAACAAATTTTGAAGATACAATCCTAAGGTAAGTATTCCCAAATTAAAACATGTACAATTTAATTTAAACACAATTGAGTAATGACTTAATGAATAAAAATATAAATTAAAAATTATAATAATTTTAATTTATCTTGAAATTGCTGATGACATAACCTTATTAGTACCTACATTTAAAAAGTAAATTTTTTTATTATTATTTAGTTCTAATAATTATTAACAATTATAATTACACATTAACACTATATAGTAGGGAATAAACTATAATAACCATAGACTTAATCTGTGAATGGACATGGGAGAGGAAGTTTCTCCAGACTTTTCATGATGGGGATGACATTATGGTTTTATGATTCATCCACTTATAATTCATATTTGTTTATTATTGCAACACATTTTTTTTTTCTAAACATGGTTGAATTTTGAATATTATTTTTATGTTTACATACTATGTAATCATAGAAATTCAAATATTTGTATTGTATGTAAAAGTACCAACTCTTAAAATTATTCTCATTAAAATATAGATTGAAGGTACTAATTAACATATTTTCACTAGTTTTACAACTCTTTATAACTTCAAGGATTGATTTTCATATTACATAATTACATAATGTTTATATTATGTATATTGCACGTAGGTAAAAATTTAACATTGGTAAATTATTTAAGAGGTAAAATATTGCTTCCTGCTTACTCTTTCCTTTATTTTTTTAAACACAATAAGTATCTAAAAAATATTTATATATTTTACTCTTTCTCCCAAATAAAACCCATTCCAAGCTATGCTAATAGCAATAACTAATAAGTAATAAATAATAATAACTAATGAACAAATTTGTATTTCTATTAATAATCTAAAATTTTCAAAGTTTTTCAAGGTATACCCATGTCAATGTAGAAACATTAAATAAGTTTTTATTATAATAACTGGTGAGATTGATTATTTAGTAATCCTAATTTTTGTTATACCTAGTGACCTATAGTATTCTTATTAAAAATTAAAACACTATTTACATAGTGTAAATTTCAATACAAATATATAAGGTACTATTATAGGTACGCCTGATTTATTGTTAAATGGAAGCAGTAATTTATCATATTTTGATCCGGTCAATTTGTGGACCTTAATATTAATTGATAATTTTATAAATATTATATATATGTTACATGCATATATACATTTGTAAATATTTATCACGATTTACGATAAAAAAAATTAATTATAAATATTTTAACTGTCTATTTAAGAAAAAATAAATAGATATTTAGATTGACTTAGTCGATCTGTAACAAAAGGTGATAGATCACTATTTATGTGGCTTGGATAATAATTAATATAACTCTCATAAACATATCTGACAACATATATGTTACTTTAGTAATTATTTATCGACGAGGAGAATTCTATTTGATTTTCTTATCACGAGATTTCTAGTAAAATAAATATAATATGTAGTAAAAATACATGAATGTATTAAGCAGATTTGTTAATATGATTAATATTTGTATGCATAATTAATCAAGTATAAATATTTAAAAAAATATATATATAATGTATTGTACCTAATATATAATAAATTTGGGTTAAAATAAAATGAATGTAAAAATAATATTGTTGTTCCAACTATACATTGTCAGGGAAACTTTGTTCCTTTTGTCTCCTCACAAATTACGTTTATGGTTTTAACATTAAAAACATGTCGTATTTAAAATACATAATTAGGTAATGTAGTTGCTTATTGTTTTTAATATAATATTAGAATAGATTTGTTATGTCATGTTTTTTAAAATTAAATCAATCATTATATAATGTTATTAATTAATAATTATGCTTAATAATCTTAATTTAATGTTTATAAATAATTATTATTATTAATACGTATTACCTTATTAAGTTATTTTGCTAATAAATACTTTTTAATATGTAGAATTATTATAATTTACAATGTACATAACACGATAATATAATTTATAGTTTAAAATTTAGGCTTAAAAGTAATGTAGGAAACTGTAAAAACGAGCAATCTGTGAAAATAATTCAAAGTTCTAAATGTTGTGTTAATTTTATACAAATTTAATAAGTTATAATTTATAAGTATTATCCTGCCATTTGATAAGAAGCTGTATTATTTATCACACTTATTAAAAAAAGAACATTATCGTATCATTTTTATTATCCACATGTTGTGCTGTTTCTTAAAAGAATCCATTTTACTTTATCACTCTTCTCTTGCTGGATAATTTTTAATATTTTAATTTTGGAAAAGTAAGAGTATTTTAAAATGTGCAAAAATTTTTAAATTTTAAAACTCAAAATTTGTCTTAAAATTTATATAATATCAAAAAAAAATTCTTTATTGGGGCTTTGAGTAATATTGCCATATACCTATATACTCCGGATATCAAATTTTGTCATTAAATATAATAATAGGTCAATTTAACTTCTATTAAAAATAACTGAGTTAAACGAATTCTTCCGATTTAATAATTTTCTGTTTTGCATTACTCAGTAAAACAGAAAAATACACTCCGGTACAGCAGTGACGTACTCTTGATATACATTATTAATTAGGTATAAGTAGATATTAGCTATTTAGTTAATTAACTATTAACTAAATATTTCATTTTATTGTAAATCTATCCATAGCAAATAAAAATTTAACCTATAAGCTTATGAAAATATCAAATAGATTACTACATATCATAAACAATATTTTTCCTAATTAGTTTATTATACATATAACACCATGTCATTAATTACACAATGTAACTTATAATTTATACTAATGTATATTTGTGTATTTTTTTTATCAAAGAAATATTGATAGACATTATGTCTGATAAGTATAATGTAGGTATATATTAGTATTACCTGAGTCATTAGTAAAATCATGAATAATAACCAGGGCCGTATTTACGCCTAGGCCCGTGAGGCCCGGGCCTAGGGCGGCAATTTTTTTGGGGCGGCAAATTTTGTAAGAAATAAAAAAAAAATTATATGAATATTTTATGCATTTATGTAACTGCGTGTCTGCGTAAATTAATATTATATAATATTTGATATAAGTATTTAAAAAACATAAAAGTAAATCCATGAATTTGACACATTGGTTAATTCTGTGGCCTGCGTCTTAATAAGCTATCGTATTTATCGTAATCGTAATATAAAATCACAGATTTTTATATAGAAGACAGAAATATATATTAGTATATTAGTAGTATAGATATCTGTGTGTAAAATATACGAGTGCATGACACTTAAAATATCAATAACACGAAATCAATTTTCTTGTAATGTGAATTATAAAGATAAGATACCTAGGTATATAATATGAGTTGTTCCTAAAAGTAATTACGATAATAATATTATATATATAGAAATTGACGAGAGATATTGTGTATCCACATCACACACGACCACACTTCATTTCAGTTTATTGTTCGTCATTGTCGGGCAGTGCATATTACGACAACACAATATAATATTTAATAATTAATAATTCACGTATTAAATTTACAGCAATTAACATTTTTTCAACATGAGTGACGGTCGTAAACGTTTTAGTAGTTCAGAGTATAAAAAGCGAGCCAAAGATAAAGAATATAAAGAGATTAAAGTTCTAAATAAAATACCTAAACTAAGTACTTTCTTTAAACCTACTACACCGTCTTCTTTGAATGCACCTGATAATGATCAACAACATGATTTAAAAACGATTGACGACAAAGAAATGACTAAGTGCGAATCGAATTTTGTAATTAATAACTTAACAACTTCTACTTTAAATGTGGATTCAGATACACTTTATATTGATAATAATGATCCGGCTAAATGGATTATTAATGATGTAACTCGCGATTATGTGGCAAAACACGGAATAAATCAAAATTTAAATGATGATTTTACATGTTCTAAACGTGAGTATCCTGACAAAAATAGATTTTTAAATAAATCATTATTTGTTAGAACACGTATAAATGGTGAAGTACAGTCACGACCATGGTTAGTGTTTTCGAAATCTACTGGTTCAGTGTTTTGTGCACCATGTCGACTCTTTGGAAGTACACATTTATCAACATTAGTAACTATTGGTTTTAATGATTGGAAAAATGCTGTACGAAAATTAAACGAGCACGAAAATTCTATCCCTCATAAAACTTCAACAGTTGCATTAATTGAAAGGGGAAAAACTGCAGGTAAAATAAACCAAGAAATTGTTTTGCAATTAGAACAAGAAACCAATTATTGGCGAAATATTTTAAAAAGAATAGTTGCTACTGTACGTTCTTTAGTAATTCGAGGGTTACCACTGAGAGGCAGTGAAGAAAAATTTGGGTCGTATCATAGTGGTAATTTTATTATGACATTAGAACTTTTAGCAGAATTTGACCCCTTTCTATTAGAACATATTCGCCATTACGGTAAAATCGGTAGTGGTAATACATCGTATCTATCTTCACAGACATACGGAGAGTTTATACAAATTATGGCAGAACAAATTACAAAACAAATAGTTGAAGAAGTCAAAGTTTCAAAGTATTTTTCGATAAGCGTTGATTCGACGCCCGACGTATCCCATGTTGATCAGTTGTCTTTTATCATAAGATACCTTTCAAAAGATGGTACTCCTATAGAACGATTTTTAAAGTTTATTGCCAATACTGGGCATAAATCTGAACAACTTGCTGATGCAGTTTTTGATACACTTAATCAATATAATTTGGATTTTAAAAATTGCCGCGGGCAATCATATGATAATGCCAGTAACATGGCTGGTAAATACACTGGCCTTCAAGCCAGAATTAAAGAAGTCATTCCGCTTGCCATTTATGTTCCTTGCTCAGCACATTCCCTAAACCTTGTGGGGATATCTGCCGTGGATTGCTGTGAAAAATCGACAACATATTTTAGGTATCTACAAGAATTATATAACTTTTTCACAGCATCTACCCATCGTTGGGAAATTTTACTATTTTATTTAAAAAAGGCCAAGTGTGTAAAAAGTTTGTCTCAAACCCGATGGTCAGCAAGATACGAAGCGGGTAAATCTTTATATACTTCTTGGAGTGAAATTAAAAACGCTTTACAGGCTATTATTGACGATGCCAATGAAAAACCTGTAACAAAATTTGACGCTTTGGTTCTTTTGAAACCTTTAAATACTATAGAAATGTGCTTTATGGCTGTTTTTTGGAACGAAGTATTAGAAAGGTTTCATATAGTTAATAAAAAACTTCAATCAGTTAATATTGAATTAGGAATGGTCGTTGAATTATATGGATCTTTAGAGCAGTATATATCTAGAATTAGAAATAATTTTGAAGAATATGAAAGAAAAGCTATACAAATATGCGGTGAAATACAGTATAAAAAAGACAAGCGGAGAACTGTTAAAAGAAAACGTCAATTCGACGAAACAATGAATGAAGTGATAACAGAAACAGGCAAGGAAGATTTCAGAATAAATGTATTCTTCGTTATATTGGATAAATTGAAAGCTGAACTTGTAAGACGTGGCAGTTCGTATAAAGATTTATGTGTCAAGTTTGATTTTCTTACGAATATATGTAGTTTTGACGAGGAAATTATTTTTAAAAAAACTAGGGCACTTATAGAACAATATCCTAATGATATTGAAGAATCATTTACAAATGAATGTCTTCATTTGCGTGATCATCTTTTTTTTAAATCGGACAAAAAAAGAAGCGCTCAAGAACTTTGTCAGATGTTGTATACAGATGAATTAATAGATATTTACCCAAACGTCACAACAGCGTTACGTATGTATTTGTGCACGTTTGCAACAAATTGTACAGCAGAGCGGTCATTTTCAGCATTAAAAAGAGTAAAATCGCATCTTCGTTCAACTTTGGAGTCAGATAGATTAAATGCGACATCAATACTACATATAGAATCTGAGATGCTTCGAAGTATAAATTATGATGATATTATCGACGATTTCGCGACTAAAAAAGTTCGTCGTAAAATGTTATAGATAACATAGGTATAAGATTTAAACATTTACACTGCTATTTAGAATTTAGAATTATTTGTTTTGTTTATAATGACTATTGACCTAATTTATTTAAAATTGAAATAAATTTATTGGAAATAATAACATCATTTTTTTTTTTTCTTGGGATAGGGGCGGCATATTTAAAATGGCCTAGGGCGGCACTTGTTCTAAATCCGGCCCTGATAATAACTCATTATATCTATTAAAATAATTAATATTATCAGCACATAAAAATTTGCCAATAATTTAAAATTAGCTAGGTATATCATATAATCCGAGTAAAGTTTAAAATGCTAAATATATTTATTAATTATACATTAATACACTTGATAATAATATTAATTATTTTTATTTTAAATTTATTGTAGAACTAAAATATTGTCAACATGCAGAGGGCATATTGTATGGTTTATGCGTTGATTTTAAGTATTTCGTTTGCATTTGCAGGTATATCACTGGCTTAAAACTAATTAGGTGTAAAATCTGTCTAGCTATGAAAATTGTATAAAAATATTTACAAATGTTTTCAGACAATTTATCAGCGAATTGGTCGTCCGATGATGACACGTTACCGGAAGTGCTACCAAAAAAGATGCGTGACAAAAGCGATGACGAAATTCAAAAAGCTGTTTTTCAAGCATACGAAAATCAACTTAAAGTGATTTCTGAGTACAGTGGACACATATTGGATCCAGCATCTCCTTATGGATTCTTCAAGGACGAAATGCCAATTTCGAATGCAAGGACTTCTAATCCACAATCTGATCTCATATTTTACAATAATGCTATTAGAGGGTTTATTGGGTACAACAAAAACAGTATTATCATTAAATGGGCTCTGAATCAGGTAATTTATGGTAGACTTTTGAATTTGTTAGTCGACAAATTTGAAACTCAATACGTACATAGAAATATAAAACGCTTGAATGAGATACTTAAAATATTTATGTAGATACTTGCTACGTGTCTATGCCTAAGTTGATTCTCTTAAATTATTATTAAGATAAATAAATTTCGCTACATTTTACTTTTTAATATTTGTCTAATATCTAGATAGTATTATCAGTTCATCATCGTATAAACCAATGTTTCTCAACCTTTTTACTGTGGGGTGACCTTTACATATATTTTTTATTAACATATAGTCACATATATATTATATTATTTTTAATTAATAAAACGTATATCAATTATTTAATTTTTGATTTAAGTGTAATAGTATTGATTTCAATCATACGTTAGCGATCCTAAATAATAAGTTGGAGATCCTCTCAGGTTGAGAAACATTGGTATAAATTACAAATACAATTATATAATAGTTATTAGATAAAACAAATCATTAAAGGAAATAATAATTAAGTATTTTTACCATATTTCAACCAACAGCTACTTAAAAGATGTCAATTTTAAGACAAATTATAAATACTAGTATAATTTGTGAAATTGTAATATCATAACTTTCAAGATTGAAGTAGAAAAATTAGTAGTTATCTTGTTTCTTATAACTTCACTGTTGTGCGCTATATTAACAACAATTAATTTTCAATTTTCTATATAGAGTAGTATCAGAATAAAAAAAAAAAGCAATATTAATTTAACTTATATATACTTGCATGTTACAACTTACAACTATAAATATTAACAATTTTAACAAACTAGTAAAGTACTTTATTTTATAATAAAATAAAAATAAATAAATAAATTATCAGGTGAAAAATTAATAGACTAAATTATTTTCGTAAAATTTATTAAAATAGGTAGTAATCATAATGTATTTCAGAAATATCAATTAAATTTATATAAATAATTTATCATTTTATCGTTGATTATACTTATAATCCATAATAAGATTATTTATTTTTCATAAGTAACAAACAATATTTCAAATAATCAATTATGATATGATATAGAGATATAGACTATAAAAAGTAAATATAAAATATTTATTATTATTATTCTAACGTATTATACTATTGTCTAGGTCGTTACAGAATTAGGATGGAAAGAAATGAGCGTTAGAGGAAGGTACACTTTCATGAATTCTTCGTATTTTGATCAAGGAAAGTACCATATCCAATTACAAGATTTAAAATATCTTGCTAGTACTACGCTTTCAGAAAACACCGAATCGTATCCATCGACAGTACCAAAATCTAGCATTTCATACAAAAGTGTCAAAGTTTCATTCACAGGTGGTTTACCAGAAATATTAAAGACTAGTGATTCTTCTAATGTGAAGTGAGTTTAAAGTAGATGTTTAAAAAATAATACAAATATTCTACTTTCTATAAATAGTATAATATATTAATTCTATATTAAAAAACAAATTTATTTTGCCTTTTTATAGATTTAGCATAATTGTTTCCGGTTTAAACTATTAACATTTTTTTCAATTAAATACATTGTTTTTACAAATATATATAAATTGTATATTATACTATTATAGGTAGTTATTAATTAGTATTTATAATCAATGATAATGTGTATGAATTTTAAAATTTTTAATTTTAAACTACTGTAGTCTATAATAGTTATGGATCATTATGCGTATGTATTGAGTTTCAAAAAATCAAATGAATTAGAAAATCTAAAAATGGTTTAATAGAGCTACAAATTACTAATTGTAGTTATAAAACTGCATGAGTATATATAAATATTAATATTAAAATTTAAAACCTAATATAATTAAACAAAATGTTATCTGGTAATTATATATGATTTCAGGTAATTAGATAAAAAAAATAGGTGTAGCAAATATGTATTTAAACTGTAAATTATAAGTAGATATTGAATTTCATTTAATTATAATTAATTAATATTGTTTTTAATTAAAACCAATAATCAATATGTAATTTAAAAAACAGCTACGGTAATGCTCTTATATAACAGTAATACATAAGTATGGTGTTGTTGTAGGTAGGTATGTATTTAATTGTAAAATATCACTTCCATTTCGTTGCTAAAATTAAAGAATATTTTCTCTATTATAAAATTACACAATAATAACAAATAAATCTTCTGCGCATATATAGTAGACTTGTTGACTTGATATTTCTTAAGCGCATTTCAAATTTTTAATTTCTGGTATTTCGATGTATTGATGTAACAATCTTGTAGAGATTTCATTATTGCATTACGGAAAAGATTCTCGGTGGTTTGTAGTTTGTACGTAATACTTATACGTACATGCCTATCACTTCAAATATAGAATAAATATATTGTTTGGTACCTTATATAATATACGATGTATAGTTTAAGATGTATAAATATGCAGTGCCCATGTGTATGTTGTAATTCATATATTCACTTAAGTATTAATTAATTTATTTCACAAAAAGATTTGTAGTTTATTAACTTTTAAATTATGTTTATTTATATTTTTAATTTTTAATAATAGGCACTTCATTGAAGACATCGTATTCCAACAAGTAGCCGATCGCGTAGTTAGGGACACGCACAACAATATAACTGTGGCCATACGTCAAGTCATCAAACCATATATTATATTCAAGAACGACACAGATCCAAACTTTCCAGGTACAAACGGAAAACTTCCCAACAGTAGCGTAGGATATAGCATCAGCAACACTGTCATTAGTGGCTTTGCTAATGCGGAACACAAATTGAAAAAAATTACTACAAAAATGGCTACCAACACGGTTACTGCTGATTTACGTATAACGATCCATAGTTTAGACGGTAAATTCGACTTTAAACTCGAGGAGAGTAAGCCTACCATCGGAAAAGCAACATTCGCTGTCAGCAGAATTGATGTCAATATATCGTTCAATATGCTTAAGCCTGTCGAATGTAAGACTGAGGTGGTAGTTAACCAGCCGAATGTTAAATACAGTACAAAGTTGTCGGCTGACATTGAAAAAACATTGACTAACGCGTTCATCGACAATGTTAAAATCCAATTAAACACAAATATTTGTAAGGCTTTGGGCCAGATGATCAAGTCTGGAAAATAAAAAAAAATCCTATTTCATTATTCTAAATCCGTCGCATAGCTAAATTTTTTAAACTATATTTTTTGAATTGTATACAGTTGAGATAAACACATATTAAACTGCAGATATAAATATTTTAAAATTTTTGTTTTTGCTTCAGTAATATATTTTAACTTACTTAACACATATGCATTACACATTATTAAACACATAGCTATAGAAAATAACAAAATTAATATACATAATAAAAAAAGTATAAGTACGTAAAATATGTTATGTATAAATACTACATACAATATATTATATGACATATGGTATACTGTATACATATTACATATATGCATATATAAATATATGAAATTAATGAAACAACTCTGTGAGTATGATACATTGATGTACATATAATGACGTATCGATAGTATTATATATCTTCAAAAATAATTTGGTAATAGTTGGTGAAAATAATGATTAGTCCAAATGTTTTGTTAGACAAATAAAGATACACAGTTGTATGAAAATTAACTATTCTAAAATATTAAAACTGTATCAAATTAGTGAGATATAAATGAATGAATACATAATTAATAATGTCTAATTCAGTGTTAGACCACTGCAAGTCAGTTATTTTTTAAAAGTGATTAAATTACGTTACAAATTACAAAATAAAATAGTAAATATATTACTTTTTTGAATTTTTTAAAACTTGGTCTTCAAAGAATGGGAATTAAAAAAAATGTATGTTTATTCATATTTCGTGTAAATTGTATTTATAATTAAATCATTAACATACATTTAACTAAACTGAAATGGTGTAATGCATTGTTACAATCATTTTTTTTGGTTGTAGACTTGGAACTATGTTAGGACTTGAGTAAGTAAAAGTTTAACAAGGTATATAAATAGTTAGTTAAATAACTGACATTTCGTTATTTTTGGATATTAAATTCTTATGTAATAAATTTTGCGTTGTTAAAATTAAGAGAATTATATATTATTATATTTTTACTATAAATTATGAATCGTTGCATCAAGAAAATAACAATAATAGTTTGATAAACTACATATTACTATTTATATGATATTTTAAAATTTAAATTGGACTTTATTTTCGATAATAACATACTTATATCTGAATTTTAGAATTAATATAACTTTAAGTGGAGATAGGATTAAACACTATATCTAGAAGTTTAAATAAATAATAGTAGGTAGAATAAACATATAAAATATGCATCTAAAATTTATATCGATGAAATAATATTTTGACGTTGTTTCACTCGAAAGTCGAGTTTAATAATATTTGTCAGTAAACAAATAGAAAGAAATAATTATTCAATTTAACGTAATAGGTTCGACACCCACTGTAGTTTTGGAAAAATATAAGTTTATTGTTTGCGTACTTAATCAATAGTCGAACTCTCGGTAAAAATAATAACTTTCAGTTGTCGCGTATTTGTTTCTATTCACTCGGTTTTTACAATACTGGAAAATTATTTAATTGAAATGACTGTATTTAAAATAACTTTAAGGCCAATTTTAATCTTTAGCCAGTTCTTAGGATTAATTAGCATTTCTTATACATTGGAACCAACTACTGGGTTATCATTACGAAGTACGCAATCAACCATCTATTTATTACTTGAATTGACGCGCACGTGTGTGCTAGTGACGTGTACCTACATCATTTATACATGGGAACTCTCTAATTTCTTAGAATTTATGTTAATAGTTAAATTTTGGACTGTCGTTATTGCAGCAAGACTATCAGAAAAATGGATAATAAAGTATGACAATATATTATGTTTAAATTTTTACTATGAAATAAATATTTATTTAAAATATTGTATAATATAATACACCACATAGTCACTAGTACCATTGATTCTATAATTCGATGCTAGTACCTAGCTCTAAGAACTTAATTTCGGTGTGCGAAAAAGACTGACATCAGATAACAGATTTTGAGATTTTAGTATATTATAATCATTAGACCTCTAGGTTTACACCAGGGGTGCCCAACCTATTGAGAAGACCGAGTCACATCGTGCCAGTAGAAGTTGTGAGCCACACACATTTTAAGGATTAAATTATTATACAACAATACATTTTTATATAATTTTTTTATAGCGAATAAGTAAAAATATTTTTACGAGCTATTACATTTTAATCATAATTACAAGGAAAGTATATTTGTTTATAATAATAATAAAAAAAAATAATTTAAAATAACATATTATTTTATCAAAATTAGCTAGAGTTGATCGACTGATCACCCATATCGGTAATGTGTGTCTACTGCCCGACTCCCGTGCTATTCGGGCTCAATAAAGATAAAACGTTCATACAGTAGGTATTAAAATTTATTTGATTTTTAATATTTTATAGTTTTATATTCTTAAAGTAAATTTTTTTCTCGTAATATTTATTTTTTATATACATTTAATTGATGGTTTTTTAATTAAAGTGATGGTCGCATCAATACTCACCGTGTGTTGGACACTCTTTGCTTACACCAATAGATTAGCCTTTGCCCTTTTGTACGTTGAGAGCGGCAAAACATGGAGAACACTGCTCTTGTGTTACTTGTGACTACATGGCAATATTTTTATTGTACATGAAAGGATAGTATCTACTACCTACTATCTAGCTATTTATTATTTAAAGCACTATAAAAAAAATGTCTCGAAAACTTACTGTAATTTCTAATATTCAAATATTGTAATATTATTCCGATATTATTATAATCATTAATTTCTAATTATACAGAAGAAGTACCAAACTAACTGATTATTATTATGAATTAATAATACATTTTAAATAATAATTAATAATTAATGCCTGTTATTTTTTTGGCTTCTTGCACAAGGAAATAATAAATATAGAGTAATATTATTGTATATTGTACAAAAATAGATGTTTAATCGCCTTATTGATATGATTATATAGGCTACATCACTACTGTTTGTTTGGCTGGCTACTTCTACTCTATAGAGAATAGGCAATGCCAGTCTATTAGTATAAGCACTGCGTATATAATAATATAAAACTGATCTACCAAAAGAATTAACACCGAGATAATTAACTCTATTTTTCCACACACCGAATTATTAAAAATACAACTAATGAATAAAGTAGTTTTTTTTAAATTTACTTCTATTATTTATGTATTGAAAAAAAATTAATACATATACAATTTATTTTTAAATATTTTTTTTTTTATGATATGGTCTTAACTATTATGCTTTAGGTCATAAGGTAATCTAAAAAAACATAATTGACCTTCTTCCTAGAATAATTTATAAATAAGTATTATTAAATTACTAATTATCCATCAAGTCAGTGGCGCAATAATCACTTTGGGAGGGTTTGGCTGGTTTGGGGATTGTTTATCTCCCCTATCCATAAACGTAAGATTTTTTACAAATCCTACATAATACGAGTATATGTATGGGAGTTAACTGATTGCGTTTAAAATTACTATTTTGTAGACCAATTGCGCTAATAACATTTTAAAATACTTGATGAAAACTTATTAGTTAGTTATAATTATATACTAAATTAATACACACTATATTAGTTACATAACAATGCACATTTAAACTTTTTTACGATTCAAACTAATACTAAAACAACAAGATATAAGTAACGGCTATCATCGATGTGTTATTCTATATATAATACAGTATATTATATTGTGTAACAAAACAATTAGGCTGATAAATATCCTGCGATAATGAAAATGTATTTTCGTCTATCACACAAATTCATACTTGTGCGTTCAAATATGTGTTATAATAATAATGTTTCATACAATTCCCGAAACTGTTATAAAATATATTATAACCAGACACCGGTGTATACTAGTTGCGGTCACCCAATAAAAAGGTTAGGTTCTAGTTGTGGTCACTCCGCATAATCAGCATTATTAAAGTAAATTATATTTACAATGTATACATTTTGAAGTAAATACATAATATTATTCTAATATATAATTATTATTATAAACTGTTTGTCATAAAATAACAGAATGGCACAAACGAAGACTGGCTTATCCGGAAAGTTCACTATTATTCATGAGTAGAGAGCGGATTTTTAGGTTTTTACATATTTTTATTGGTTTTATGCAGCTTTATGAGAGTGAAAAATGTGGACGACTTATCCATCACAGAATTCGTAGGAAAAAATTTATTTAGCATATTAAAGCATATTTTTGACTTAAGAGAATATTTAGCCTATTTTTCATATTTTAGAATATATTCTATTATTGTTCATAAAAAAATCATATTATACATTATTAATTTATCGATTTGTGATATTTTCCAGCAACAATTTTGTCTAGGAAAAAAAATTATTTTATATAAGAATGATAAAAATTAAAAATCATCCAATTATCTACTTGTTTGTAATCAAATTGGTAATGATGATCATTCTGTTACTCTTCATCCGTGATTGTACTTACGATCTTATAATAACCTGATAAGAATGATTTCTAATAATAAATCTATTTTTACTTTTATATTGTTTATTATTTTAACTTAAATGTCTAACGATTTAGTTAAATTTGTAATATTCATTTTTATTTTTTTTAAATACCGAAAATTAACAAAAGTTTAAAATATTTACATAAACAGTGAATAGAGCCGTATAATAAAATAAATGATACAGTATTTACGACTGATGGTAATATAATTTAGTAGGTAACTAAGTATGAACTAATTTTGTTTTTATTAATTTTATTTGTTTTTTTATTAATATTTCATTATATTTATAAAGGTAACTAAGTATGAACTGATTTATATTTTATAGTTAAATAACTTAGCTGTCACTAAAGGCCATACAAGTTATGTATTGTTTTTATTAAACTATTTTGTTTTTATATAATATATTTAATTATATTCATATACCTATGAACTGTTTTGTATTTTTGATAGTTAAATATTTTATATGTTACCAAAAAGGAATGGTATGTAAGTTATTTATTGTTTTAATTGAATTATTTTGGAAATAAAACAAATCATATTATCTGCATATTTACAAGTTTAAGGAATATTTAGAGAATATTTTAGGGTTTTTTTAGAACATATTAGCATCATATTTTAAGCTTTTAAGAACCTAAAAATCCGCTCTTTACTCATGAGTATGCTAATCCGCCCTGGACGGTTACTACTTGTTATTTAGTATAAAATTGTTGCCGCGATTATCTCTTGTTGTATTCTATATTACAGACTACAGTTACCTTAGAGTAATGTAGTTTTGAGGCTTGTGTTGGACATTTGGACGTTTTAATTAATAAATGCACTGTTATAATTTAGAAGATGTATATTGATTAAATTAGTATCTAAATATTGAGTATAACAATTGAAATAAAAGACACTATTTTACAATACATATAATACTTAAGTTCCAAATAGTAGGTAGTTACTATTATATGGAAAAAATATTATGATACGCTAATAATACAAATATATAGGTACTATCAAAATAGTTTTGCTTATAAACCAAATCTCTCTGCGTAACTTTTAAAAAAAAAGTATAAATTAAAGTATACACAATAATATGTATATTGTTTTTTTTTTTTTTTTAGGTTAATCAATGGCATTATAGAATTTGATCAAAATATCGCTGAACTTTCGACATATTTGTCGGTTCAACAGCGTTGTTTGAGTAAACGATTTTTGAATACGATTTACATTTTATTACTGGTATACTTTATCGGATTTGAATTTTACCAGCTGTACTTATGGCCTCCAAAAATCATAAATATTTATTCAACTATACACTATTTGTTTAACGCACCGTTCATTATAGATTTTAATGTTTTAATTTCATCGTGTTTTTTTATCCTTAACTTAAACAATAGATTTCAAACATTATTAGATTTTTTGGAATTTCTTCCTGTAGAATCTGATTTTCTTGATGAATGGTCACATTCTGAAATAGCAATATCGTTGGAAAAAATACGGATATTGCACTCTGAACTATCAGAATTATTAAAAACATTCAGTTTGGGTTACGGTCCATTACTTTTAAGTTTCTTTACATTTAATTTTATAAATTTGTTAGTTCAATTTTTTTTTTCGATTTGTATAAACGTGACTAAATCGTTAACACCTAACGTACTACCTATTATAATGATCTTGAGATATGCAATACCACACGTATTAAACTTTCAAATTCTCATCTTTACTATGTCCATTATTATTGTGGTTTCATTGATACACGATAAGGTAAGCTACAAAAATGAATACGATTATATATATCGGGGCTTATATTTGTTTAATAAATTATAGTACATTTTAAAGATAATATAAATACATATATGTTTACGTAACTAATTAAAATAACAAATTTTATACTATCGAGTCTTGAGTATTAGCCATTAATTCATAATTGATTAAGCAAATTATTTTAAACTAAGAATTTAATTACAATAATTATAATATATTTAATGGAATACATAAAAACATAAATATTAACATTGTATATAACAATATTATTCCAGAAAAGAAGGATGATATCTTGTTTAAGATTATATCGTATATCAAACTTACACGCCGACATAAAACGACAAGTAAAATATATTTAGATAAACACTACTTCATTTCTTTTGAATATTCGAAATAATTGATTTCACTATGACATCATATTATTGGCGTATTACGTATTATTCATAAATTAATTTTATTTATAATAATATAATTTGAGTAACTACTAATTTATTGCATATTAGTTATTGATTAAAATTGATTTACTAAAATTGTTAATTCATGATTTATACAGTAATCGTTTGTAATCATTAATAAAGATATATTATACGAGTAGTATAGGATGTTTATGGCTTTTGCATTTGATAAAAATTCGTTTTGTGCTTTCTTGATTTAAAATATATTAATTTCATATTTTTATGTCATTTTTTCATATGGTATGATTTTTTTTTTTTTTTTGTAGTTTTTGTACAATGTAGATGACGAAAATATCCCACTTTGTACAAAAACTCATTATAAATGAGTTTTATACGTTATATACGTTTTATAATATAGGTCATATTATACAAGTAACGTATGAAACGTTTTATACGCGTATACTAACAACTTTGGAATTTTTTACAAATTTTATGTTTTAAAAAATATTTGTATGTTTAAAAAAATAACGTACTGATTACTGATATAAGTTTACTGTTAGTGTGTCATAAATTATAACACGTATATTACAACTTAAAATAAAAGTGATTTTACACAAATACACTGATTATACACGTTTATCGAATATTATACTAATAAAATTGTACCTATAGAATAGGTACAATAATTATTTTTAAATCAATTTTTTCACGCATTTAAGTAATTTTTTGATAATTTTTTGGAGATTTTATGTGAATTTTCGCTTTTTTTAAGAAATTTACATGAGCTTTTAAAGTCATTACTATTCTTTCTATAACTATTATATAAATATTATGTTTAATAATTTTAAATAATTATAGGTTAAAATGTTTATGCTTCAATTATCATTTTTTGAATTGGATGAAATTAGCTCCTACGGAATTTTCAATATAAATTTGAATATTGTTATGTCAGTAAGTATTTTTTAATTTTCTTTTTATTAATAAAATATGGATTTATGCAAACTTTGAAAATATATATTTTAAAAACTTTATAAATAGATAAAATTTTAATGAAAAAATTGAATTATTTCAAGTATTGTATAACTATATGTGTTTGAGTAAGACAATAACGTATCATATAGGTAATAACTAATAACTTAATTTAATTAAATAGAAATACTAAAACGATTTATTTGACGATTATTAAAACTAGAAGCAATAACGAGTTGTATTTAAGGGTTAATGTGATAAATTGTTTAACCACATCAAGGACAATTCGTAAACTGAGTTTCGCAGCAATAATAATTTATTAAATACTTAAAAGTTTCAGACAAACAAACAAACAAAAAAAAAAAACACAAATGGGTTGTACAACTATAACATATGTTACTATGCATTACTAACTGTTCAAGATTTAACATAGATAATCAATATTTTGTATTTTTATTATATAATTATTTAAGTTAAATTATTCAAACCATTTAATTCAAAATAAAAACGTATATCATTTTTTTTTTTTTTTTGTTTTAGATCATAGTGTTATTAATAACTGGATTAATTACATTGATACAAATGAAAAATCATGCGATTATTATTAGTATGATCAATGGTACTTTAACCTTCGCAGATGGCATGTATACTATATAACCATTCAGCATTTTTCAATATATTCTTAAATAATTGTGTAATATAATTATTATAAAATTTAGTTTAATATTAAAGTTGCACAATTTTAGAATTTAAGAAGTACTATTTAATGTATTTTGTTATTATGTTGTAGTATACAGTGTATATGTTAATAAAAAAATAACAATAATACATATATGTAAAGTGCAAACATTGAGAAAGTTATAGGGCTTCTCGGACCTTTGGAAATAATATGTATCCAGATCCAAATTGAACCAGCGAGCTACCAAGAAAATCTCGGTGGGTTGCGTAAAATTTGAGCCGGTCATAATTATGATTAAGCTTAAGCTAAAAGCTTTTATTTTAAAATAAAGATATAATGTATTAGCATATATTATATTGTTGCATATTTTCAGTTCTAAACTTACTTATTAATGATAAACTAAATTTAGACATTTCATCATAAATATATGTATTTATATTTCTATTTGGTATTTTTTATATATGCAGTATAAAAATTAGTGAAAAAAATTGCCCATGGTTGTATAAGAGGTAACTTAATACAATGTACCTATGTTGAGTAATTTGTAAACTCGCTATAGAGAAACTATCATGAAATAATGCACACCAACTTCAAGTAAATAAAAAAAAAAAATCTTTTTTGCTTCGAATGTAAATAAAATAAGAGATACAACATGTTTGTCAAATGGGCCATAAGTGATTTCGAGAGGGAGGGGGCAGTGGCGTCGTTTCAGTTTTTATTAGACTAGGTCAATCACTCACTGATTTGCCGACTCAAAATTTTTTAAAAATATAATAATTCTTGCTTGTACAAAGTAGGTACGTACTTTGCAGAGCGCCAACTGCCAGAGTCTATAGTATCTAAATTCTAAATGCGTGAGCACCAAGTACCAATTACTGTCCCACTTGGACACGGCGGCTGTTCTGTTATTAGTAATATTATAATTAATAAAATAATTATAAATTTATTTATTAATCAAAATATTAATATTATATGATTCATTACAATGGCTTAACGAGCTAAAAATAAAACTTCTTATAATTTTTAAATGTGCCGACTTAAAGTTGTTGTAAATGTTAGACTAGGGAAAATTCCCAAGTCCCCCCCAAATTACGCCACTGGGAGGGGACGTTTTCAAAACCCTAAATTATTCAATATTAGGGTTGAAGTCATCTTCATTGATTATCATGTATAATACAATAAAATCTCCACCTATGAATGGGCTGATAGAAATTTAAAATCTCGATGGGCCGAAAAGTCTCAATCCGGCGCTGTATGTATTATATTGTTAATTTTACCTACCTTTCTGAAACTAATTTAAGTTATTACTTATTAATAACTAGTTACTAATAATAATTATGCGAGCACGGGGAAACCGTGCTAACATTACAATTCCCCTGATTTACAATTCTACAAGAAAAAAAGTGGTTAGGTAACAATCTTAAATATTTTTCTTCTTGTTTATTTTATTTTTATTTTTGGAGTATATTATTATAAGTACCTACCTATTTTAAATAGTAATAATTATTAAAATGTGTATATTTTAACGTTGTTGGAATGTTAAAAATAAGGTAGATTTTTTTATTTCAATATGGTGATTATAAATTACATGTGTATGTATGTTTATATATAATGACCTAATAATCAAAATTCATGATTCCTAAAAGCCAACATTTTCGTAAACAACCATTAAACTATTACTTATTAGTGTTTTTATTTTTATTTTTACTGAAGATTAAAAATAGGTTTCATTTAATAGGAACTTTATCTAATTGAATTCTATTAAAACTTGAAAATAAGATTATAATCTATTATTGTAAGCATTTTAATAATATATTGTATGTAATATTATAATAGCACTTTTATGTATCATATCTTTTTTTATTTTAATTAGTTTTATTGTAAAGTTTTACCGTATAAGTATAATAGTATATTATTTTTTTAATCAGTATATTTGTTATGAATATACTAAATCTTAAATAGATTAATTATATTTATTATCATCAAATCACTTTTAATGCTATATCGCCTGTATAATGATATTATTTCAGCAAAAAAGAAAAAAAAATAGTCTTTTTTTTAAGCTTATTAAAACGGATTATTTATGTATACTTTGCAACTTCATTTTGTTTTTGTGTTTTGATATTAAGCGTGGCAATATATAATCATGTTAGGACTTTCTATTCATTATGTAAATCTACCTATTCCCAACGTAGCTTAATAGTGTTAATCGTAAGTTTTTACACGAGAGCAGTTAAAAATTTACATACATTACCTACCTACAAATAAGACGTGTAAATTCCTAAACAAATATGAAAAAAAATTACGTATGTAACTTCCTTCATAAAAAAAAAAAAAATTACTTAATATGATAGTTCCTACACCAATCTTAGACTGGTCGTTTATCTATGGTTAATGGAAATTGGAATATAATGGTGCAGAATAGGTGCAATAATATTATACTAGTATTCGTTTCAACCACTATGTGTGGTGTTTATACTTTATAGTTACAACAATAACTTATCGATAAAGCTGACATTTGGACTTTTTTTTCGACAAACAAATTATTTACTACTTTTCATCACTGATAATATTGGTACAAAATTTTTTTTCGATTTTGGTATGATAATTAATTGTAAATATACATAGAATAGTACTCATTGCCACATTGGGTAAATACTAATTTATCTTAACAGTTTTGGTAGTATTGTTGAAAATTCTCGCGTGTCTTATCCATCAATGGTCTACACAATCATATAGGTACGAAGTTGCGATATATCAGAATGACGTCTCTTCATGTTAATTAAAAAAGACAAATACTGCTAATTTAAGATTTTTTAAACATAATACGTATATTGTACGTAAGAATAGAGCAAAAGTAAATACAGTGGGTCAAAATGTTCAATTATTAAATATAAATAAATCGTATTTTGAAACTTTAAAACGACAAAACATTAGTAATTCTTCCTAAAGAAAAGCTTTAGACTCCATAGGTGAAATACATAGGTAAAAAAATAATTAAAAAAAGAAATATCTATATAAATATGTGACGGGTAAAGTAGACTATCGGGCAATGTTTTATATTGCCCGGTCAATGTATACTTTTCCCTGTGTTTTTGGGCAATATATTAAAAATACTATTTTTGCTATGCAGGGTTGTACTTTGACAGGTCCAAGTTACTTTGCCCATATTTAATTGGGCATTGTAACTTAAGCTATAAACAAAACTTTCCATTTGAATACATTTTTCTTTTAAATGAGTTAAACTGCAGTTAAGAAAGAGTAGATATAGTGAGGGGGATAGGTACTATGTTACAGTCAATTTAATACGTATTATATTTTTGAAGTTATATACGCACTTTTATATTTATATGTTATAAAGTAATTGGCATGCGAGTATAGAAGCAATGTTTGAGTGTAGGGCAAAAATTGGATTAAACGATGATTTTATATTGTGATTGTACATCCAATATCAATAATAAATAGATTAAAAACTGAAGAAGATTTAAAAGCGGCTATAACATATATGAATACTGAAAATTATTGTGAAGTTGATAAAACATTGATTGAAAGAAAAATAGATGAAAGAATAAATAAAATAACTGCTGTAAGAACAGAGTCAATTGTAAATTTAATAATTCAAACGAATTGATTTACATTGCCCAACTTAGACTGGGCAATTATATACAACCTGATCAAAGTATAATTTTTCCTACATTGCCCATCATAATCGGGTAATGTTTACATTGCACGATAGTCTACTTTGCCCGTAACATAATATGTATTAATGGAGAAGATTTGATTTCGTCTAATTTAATACCGATAGTAAGAAATATTCACAATTCAAGGACGCATTTTTATCTCAAACATCCAATGTCAATAAAATCAGTTCATGAATCATTAAGTTTATTATGTATAAAAGCAAGTAGAAAATATAAAAATAAGATGCCCTTAATAAAATAATTATTTTCCATGTAAAACACACACAGATTTTTTAAAAGAATTTGATTTTGTAAACATAGATATTACTTTAAACTTTAAACCTGTAGTTCTCGATCGGTGTGTCGTCGAACAAGTCCAATGTGTCGCGCGCGGTGCAAATTAATTGCGTCCCGATAATAATAAACAACTACACTAATGGCGTCCCGATAATATTTAACGACTATACTGATTGCGTCCTTAAGTTTTCCGAATTTTCTTTCCTATTTGATACACACTAAGACTTAATAACAACATTAAATAAATATTATAAATATTTAAATATATTTATTTATTTATAATAATATTTAAAATTAATTTTTAAGACAGTTATTAACGAAATTTTATTTTTATAACTCTAAAGATAACAATAAAAGTTAAAATTTAATAAAGTTATTATAGATTATACTGTTTTTATAATATAAGATTATACATTTTTTTACAGTCCATAAAAGTTGTTTTAGCGTCAAAGTTTATCGATCATTAATCTATTTAATAATGTATACACGTACATAATAAAGATTCAAATAGAACATTTGTAATTTCTCGAAATTTAATTTAATTTTATAATTGGTAACGTAAATACACGTGGCACGTGTGTACGTTATATATATGTACACACGTAATCATGTTGTAATGTTTAATTCTGAAATACATATTATTTTATCATGTTTATGCAATTACCGGTAAATATGTCATTATTTTATATTTTGCTTAAGATTTAATTAATTATAAATGGTTTTATCAACATAAAAGATAAAATATTTATATAAAAGGAAGAACTTTTATACAACTAACACATTTAACCTATTTGCGATCAAGATGAAGTCGTCATTAGTTTTTGTTTTGGCTGTTTGCATTTCTTACTCTATTGCTTATGGTAATACACATAAATTGATAAGTGTAAAATAAAATTGTTTTAAATATTTCAACCATAAATATATTATTATTTACATTATATGTTTTTTATATCATTTTTTTTTTTTTTTTTTATAATGTTTAAAAAATAATGTAACCAAAGTGTTGTACCTATCTATCTAATTTATAATATTACTTTTAGATCCAGTATTCAGTGAGGTAAATTATAGATATGACAATGATTCGATACCCGAGATGTTGCCGAGACAAATGCTTGGAAAAAGTGACGAAGAAATTGCAAAAGCTGTTTTTGATGCATACAAAATTCAAATAAAAATAGTTTCTGAATACAGTGGTCATGTTTATGATCCCGCAGATCCGTATGGATATTTCAAAAATGGATATCCCATACCGATTACACAAACTTATGATTCAGACGTCGATTTAATATTCGAAAACAATTTAGTCAGTGGATTAACGGAATACGACCAAAACGTTATTATTATTAAATGGGCACCTGATCAGGTACCTATTATTAACTAATATTTATTTAATTTTTATCATTTTCCATTCTGGCACACAATATAGTACATATTAATTGTTTAAATCAATACAAATATTCATTATAATTAATAATCATTTCATTTCGTTTGTATAGATCGAAACTAATGTCGAATGGAAAGAGGCCAATATTAGAGGTAACTATCATTATATTAATACCACACACTATGATGGAGGAAATTATCATATTCAATTGGGAAACTTAAAATACCGGGCAAACACGAAACTTACTGAAAACACCATGAATTATCCATCTTCAGTGCCAAGTTCAAGCATTTCATATGAAAGTGTTAAAGCATCATTTTCAGGAAACCTTCCAGTTGTGACAAATGTCAACGATTTGAGCAACCTAAAGTAAGTTTCAAAATTACCTAGTATTTTATTAAGTAAATCTTAATATAATAAAACAAAGTAAATTATTTTTATAGCTCATATTACAATACAAGTTCAGTTGTAGAAATACTAAACTATATTTTCTGTTAGTTAATTCGCAATATAATAATATATAATTTATTTATTTTAAAAGTGTTCTGGTTTAATTTTTTGACAATAACTTATCGTTTATTAAACTAATAGAATCGTGGTATGTTCTTTGAAAATGTGGATACTAAAAACTGATATAGACTTTATTTAATATTCTTAAGTATAATTATTCTTTATTTTTAATAGATTCTTCTTGGAAAAAATTGCTTCTCAACACATCGCTGATGATGTAGCGAAATCGATACAGCCTAACGTTTCTATCGCAGTTCGACAAGCGATTAGACCTTACATTATGTACAAGAATGTATCAGACCCACACTTCAAAGGATTTAATACCAGTATGCCTTCGGGTATACAAATCCAAGTCGATGACGTTTTCACTAATGGTTTGAACCAAACCCTTCAAAGAGTAAGAAATATGACTGTTGACATGGCTAATAAAAAATTGATCGCAACACTGGAGATGAATATGCATGATTTGAGCGGAACTTTCCGAGTACAGCTCACCAAGAACAACAAACTGTACACGGATTACGCTTATTTTGAAATCGGAAATGCCAATGTAATTCCAGTTAGCAATATGTTCCAGCGTGATGATTGTTATGCAGATGCCGAAGTTAAAAACATCAAAGTTGTGATTGACCCTGCAAAATTCAACTTGTCCAAAGATGAGGAGATTGAAGTAAACAAAGTTTTAGTGACCGAATTTCATAACACCCTCGTGAAAAAATTTAAGAATACTACTTGTATAGCTTTGGCTGATATGCTTAACTCCAAAGCTAGAGACTTCTAATTAGAAATATACATCTATCACAAATATTTTTAAAAATACATATCCGTCTATTTAACAGTTATGTAATACATACATAAAGATATTGGTGGTACACAAAGAAGGGGTTATGTGTCCTGAAGCTTTGTCTTAGATAATTTTTTGTCTATTATAATTAATCTATAAAAAAAATTGTTATTATGTATTTTATGTTTCTTATAGTGTCAAATACCAACAATATTTTATATACTCATACATTTATTAGGCTATCACATTTTATAAGAAACGTCAGTGTTTAATTTATATTTTTTTGACTGCCAGAACCCCTCCCTATTCTTCATTTTGAATGTATTTTTTTTTCAAAGTAGCTGCTTAACAATATATATACAATAAATTACTTTTTCGTATTGTTTTATTGTGAGAACATAAGATAAAAACAATATTTTATGTTTTTTTTTATTTATTTTAATAAAAATAAAAATGTTCAATATTTACAACTTAAGTGTCTATAAATACTAAATGCGTTTAAAACTAATCGAGTTTATTCATGTGCTTAAAATTTCGTTTTCAGTAGTATACATAATAATAATAATAATACATGTGTCATTAGGTCAAACAGGTCAATGTATAAAATTATAAAAGCAATAAAACAAATACTAAATTCGATAATAAAAATATAACATACCTACTAACAATATTTGTTGTCTAGATATATGGAGTAAAAAAAATGTAAGGTAGTTGTTCATATACATTGTATTAATAATTGTACTATTGATATTATAATATTTAAATTGTTACTATAAAGTATTTATATATTAATCATGTACGTATTTTAGTTTTACCAAAATTATGAAACATAATTTTATCCTAACATACAAATAAAAATAAAAATCTCTAATCCTATTATAGCGAAGAAAAAATACTTTTGTAGATGAATCTCAATACTTTGTGCTGGCCTTGGACCCCACGTCCACACTCTAACTTTAAATCCTCATACCAAAAATTGACTCTGTTTATACGTAGGTATATGTATATATAGATGCTTATTTTGTGTTTTCTTTTATGGACCATGATGCAGTTTAATATTGGTATAATATTAAAAGTTTATTACAACTGTTTTAAAATAAAAACCTAAGTACATAAATAGATACATAAAAAAAGGAGAATTTAAATAGAAATCGTAGTATTATACCATCAGTATGATAGTTTATATTAAAGTGTTCGTAGTATATGAATATAATATGTTTATAAAAATATTAGGAATAGAATTTAAAAAATTTATGAAATCGTATTTTTATATTAAAAGAAAAATATGTAGTTCCCTATAATTAATTTTACCTATATACACATATTAACATAATATGAATCAATTAGTATTTTGTATATTATGTATATTCATACGACGGTTATTAAAATAAAATTAATACTATCCTTATATTATATGTTATTGTAATAAATAATAATAATATGATAACTGATTATAATATTTTAATGCAATAAATATACATTTGTATGTTTAAGTTAGAGACCTATACTCATTAAAAGTTGATACAGACAAGAACGTTGTATAACTATTAATCGAACCTTCTTTAATTCATATTTTAAGGGTAGATACGTAATCTTTACTGCAGTTTGTAATTGAAATATATCATAGTATTATAACAACAGCAGGAGACCGATTCTGGTGGTGTAGGTATATGCTATAGAGGTAGAGGTACCTGCGAGCCGGTTACTCGATCAGTCGCAGTAAAAAACGAACCGTCAACGTGTTCGCTATATAGTGTTGTTTGTTATACATACTGAGCATGTGATGTTTTCATACACTAACGGTTATTATTAAAACAAAATTTATTTTATATGTTCAAAATGATTTGTCGGAATCTATTTTCTTTTATTGTGTGTTCTGTTATAATAAGTTCATCGCTGTCGGCTTCCAGGATAATTAAAGGTATAATTTTATTCTAATTATATGTACATATCTGCATATCGGTATTATACTATATGAAAATAATATTTTGACAGCATTAAAAATTAAATAGACATATTAAAAAAAAAAAAAGGATAAACAAAATATTTTTTATATTTAAATTTGTGATATTTTTTCTTAAAAATTGTAGATTTATACTTTTTATAGTGCTGAATCAATGCTTTATCAGAATAGAATACAATTAAATGCAATTTTTTTGAATTTTATTAAAAATGCAATATGCAACAAAAAGTTTAGAATAAATTTTCTTATAATATATTTTTAAGTATAACCATATAATATGATAACATGTTGATTATTATTATTTTATTTTAAAATTTGAAGTTATGATTTATTGTATGACCAATCATTTCTAAAAAAAAATAAATCTATTTATAGGTATGTATTATTGTTATGTTTAGGAAGTATGTATTATGCAAATTATTTAAATACAATTGAATTAAATTAATACTTAAATCGACAAGATATAAAGTGTTCATCTATTAAAATGAACAAATATATTTAACAAACACAAAATTCAAACCAAAAAAAAAAAAAAAATACTAAACGTAGCGTTAAAAGTATTATGTTTTAGTTACAACATATATTATATTGTATAACTTGAATTTTTAAATATTAAAAAAGTTTTTAAGATATATATCATATTTGGCGTTTTAGATTTTTATTAATTGTTAGATATTGTAAGGTACACTTTAAAACAATTATTGAATCATATGATGCTTATGATGTAATAAACGATTATCAAGTTATTAAATGTGTTAGGTGTATTATGGTAATTTAGTTAAGATTTAAAATTAAATAATTTAATATTTTTTGTATAAACAAATATAAAAATATTAAATTTAGAAAAAAATTATTTATTATGTTATGCAGTTTATTGTAGCACTTAGTTAACACAAATATTTAGTTTCAAATTTATTAAAATTTTATTATTACTTTTAATAAATTAAGAACAAATAAAATGTATCAGGTGTTAAATTTTACAGGATAATGTTTAAAGCGATTTTTCGAGTAAAGTGTATTCGAACAATATATTTATTTATTGAACACACGTATAATACTATTATTTAATTTAATATTATGTCACGAATTAAATCACATCTATATAGTCTTATCATTCATACTACTATTACGTGTTTAAAAGTGTTAATATATATAGATTTATACATATTTGTTTATATTAAGATATTTTAATATTGATATTTACTCGAGACTTCAGGAAATGATTGAACAAGTTGACTTTTTCTTTTTAAACTTTCTATTTATCACTTTTATTATTGATACATGCGGAGATCAATGAACAAGCGACAATGTTATCGATAAAGTTTCTATCGTCGTAATAAAGAATAATAAAAAAAATTGTATTCTGATGATGATTGACATTATATAGGATATAATTTTAATAGTTTATTAGTTTATTCAACATTTTAATTTTATGGATTTATGAAATAATCGTAAAAAATTGAACTTGACAACGACTGATTGTTATAAAATGCACCTGAACGACTTAGGGATTCGATGCGATTTCCGGTACTATGGGTACATTACGCAAGCAACCAGTTAGCAGCAGTTGACGGTGAAAGTTGGGCACATCTGCTTTGACCTGTACTCATGTAACTTGTCGAACTGTTTGTTTCTAAGTGAAAAAAATGTACCTAATAACAAATATTAAACGTGTTAGAAGAGAAAGTTTAAGAATTTTAAGATAGTTTATACTGCAGGGTATACATCTATAAACTCGATATTCGGTGTAGTGAAAGTGCGTTTATCAAGGTTACAATTCTTCCGTTCGAGACATCTCCACGGTCAAAGGTCTGTTGGATAGAGTCGTGAAAAGACAACACGTTTAAAACTGTAATTTAGGGTTAGACACGAAAAGAAATTAGAAAATACAATAAAAAATCCTATTATGTTTATAAAGTATATATAAGTATATAACTATTGAAACGACTGGTGTGTAATAACTAATAACTAATAAGTGTGTATACGTAGGTATCATACAAAAATATATATACTACATTAATTGATCTAAATGAAAAGAATAATTAATGGAATACCTAAATAAGTTTAATGCAATTTCATAATTTGTATAATATCGTGAAAAAATAAAAAATGTCCATAAAAATAATTTTTAAACTATTTGTATACTATACATACATAAATAAAAATAATAAGAATTTCTATACACAGGCTATAGTTATACCTATTTATTTATTTACTTATTTTTTTTTTTTGCTGTTTGTACCTAATAATTAATTATTCGTATTGAAAAGCGCTTTATTTTGTTTGAAAGTATCATTATAGAACTCATTTGATTGCTTTTTAAGGAAGTCTTACAAATAGACTTACCTTGTACTATTTATACTATTTTTAAATATCACAAAACATCTTCATTCTTTTGAAGATATTTCAACATTATTATGATGTCCTTCATCGGCTATTCTTTATTCTAAGATTATTGTTTCAACTACTGTAGATAGAAAAATCATTAAAATTGTGTGACATAAAGCTTTTATAAATGAATTTGGTGTACATAAAGTAGATTTTATTATCTTTTTTAAATGTTAATTGAAAGAACAGTGTTATATGGATAACAATTTCAATTGATAATCCGAGTATAATTATTATTAAAAAGTTTTGTTTTTGAAACAGTTACAGTAATTACAAAGATATATTTAAGAATATTTACAAAGATTTTAGAGGCCTAAGTGAATTTAAAATTAAAGATTTTGGTCGCAGTATCTACTATAATATAGCGTGTTTACCACAAAACCGTTTGTACATACCTATGCATACTCGTATATTAGTTATAAAATATAAATTATGTTTTAATTTCTACACGAACACAATGACATTGAATATTGATTAGATATACTTATCTATTTTTAAATGAAATAATACTTAAACAGTGATATTTTATTAAAATAAAAATACTCCAAACTACATATATAATATTTTAAGGTTATTCTTACCGATTAAAAACTATACAGATACTTTGACTTTCGCCTAATTAATTGGATTACTCTATACAGATGCATTGTTTACATACAGTCTGTGTTACTTCTTCGCGCCGTTTTATTATTATGCAATGTAATCTAAAAGATTTTTTGTTTGATTTGCAATAGTTGCTAAATAGTGGTGGTCGGTGTATAGTGGTTATGTATGTATAGGCTTTAACACGACTATATACTCAACGGAGCAAAATGTCACGGATATTAAACATTGGTCGACACAATTTCATTCTACAGCCTAGGTTATTGGGCCAATTGTCACACTTTGTTAACACTTCCATTCTTTTTTTAACATGTTTAAGTAACCATCGTTTTTGTAGATAATTATGTAATCGGTGTATAATAATACGACTGCTCTACGGCAGAAACGTTAGGTCAGTTTATGTAAATACTATACGAAAAGCAACCCAATTAAAACCGTTTTACTGTACTCGTGTAATTCAAATAATTAATCATAAAATCGTATCTATCATGATCACATTATAATAAGAACAATACTAATGTATAGTAGTATAGTACTAACATTGTTGTATGACTTGTATGATGTTGCTTACGTTTAATATTGTATATACCATCTTAATCAGTTGTGTGGACAAAGACAGATGGGTACGGAGTATCCGCATCGACTCCCACTAGTCATTTGAAGGTGGCCGTATCGGCTCCCAATTAACAACATTTTCCTTTCCATTTACAGACTGCAGTCTTCATGAGGACTGACTACAGATATTATGTTCGCCAAAAAGGGCTCTTAATGAACAGTTAGCCCCAGTGGCTTGCGCTCATGGGCTGGGTAATAATAAAATAATATACGTAGACTAATGCAACGTCGATTGCTCGAAATAACAACACCAAGAAATATGATATACGTAAGCGTTAAAGTTATAATAAATAATCAAATATCAACAAAGGTTTTCACGATGACAATATATATATATAATAATATAATATAAGAATAATAATTAATAATGATATCAATAATAATAATAATAATAATTATACGTAAATTTTTAATAATATGGTTTACGTTCACAAATGATACGCAATACGTTCACTAAACTGGCGGAATGTTCAACACTCGGAGCCGATACGGACTCATTAGAGCTTGCCGGTAGTCGATGCGGTATCATCCGACGGGCAGGGTCACAATTGCGGGTAACCGTGAGAATGTATATAATTTCTTGTTAGGCCTCGGTTGAAACTTAAAAAACAATATTTCATGTAGCATTTTTTTTTTTTTTATTTTTTTAAACGTAATACACAATCTGTATCGATTGACACAATAAGCATATATGTTGAGAGTTACAAAGTTTGACATGGAAATTTGATGAAAGAAGCCACCCATCGATGGCACTTTCTATGGATTTTATTTTTTTAGCTTATCTTAAGAGATCACGACACCACTTACGCTTCAGGCGTCTAGGGGGATTACCAGGTATGGAAGGAGTAGATAAGTTTTTTATGAGTTCGTTAGGGTGGTTAATTAGTTTGGAATAGAATCTTTTATAATATATTTTGGCTTCATCGTTAATTGTTTTGAGTTTGGTGTCAGTATGAAGGGTGTGATTAGACACGTAGGGTGGTGCATTCATTATTTTTCGGAGAGCGATATTTTGAAATGTTTGAATTTTTAATATGTTAGTCATGTAGCATTGAAAAAATTATTTTAATATTATAGCCTATAGGCTATAGGTATATCAAGATTTTAAGTGGCTATAGAAATTTAAATTTTCCCGGAATGAAGGTTTTTAATGGTAAAATATTAGCGTCAGAAAACTATGCTGTTAAAATTTACCGTCATATACCTATTTTACACGATTTTAAACTTCAATGTTGTTTTCGTCATGAATATTTATCACGATACATGCAATATAACCGTAGTTAGGAGACTATTTGAGTGGCGTCAACGCATAACAAATTGTAATACTTGAGAGTACAATTAATAATTTTGAC